AACAAGAAAACTATCCAGATATTTTTGCAGAATTACAAAAAGATGGAAAATCTAAACATTTTCTATCAAAACAGCTGAAATTATACCTAGACAATGAGGAACTGATCCGATGTGGAGGGAGAATACACAATACATCAATCAGCAAAACAGCAAAGCATCCAATACTCCTAGCATCCAAAGATCCACTGACCACTTTGATTGTTTTAGATGCACATAGAAGAAATTTGCACTCAGGAGTCAATAGTACAGTCACGTTGTTGAGACAGAATTACTGGATACAAAGAATTCGCCAGAGTGTAAAATCTGTATTGCGAAAATGCATTACATGTAGAAAAATCACGGGAAAACCTTATCCCATTCCAGAAGCACCACCGTTACCTAAAGACAGATTGAGAGAAGAACCTCCTTTTACTGTAACTGGTGTGGATTTTACTGGTGCCCTGAAGGTACAAAAAAAGAATGGACATGAAGGCAAAGTATACATATGTCTTTTCACTTGTGCTAGTACAAAAGCTGTACACCTGGAATTGGTAACGGACCTCACTGAAGAACAATTCATTTTAGCCTTTCGAAGATTTTCCAGCAGGAAATCACTACCAAAAATCAAAGTACTCAGAAGTACAGAGAGCCGGGCTTATTTACAGAGTAGATTGGATTTCTTACATGAATCACGTTTATATTCTGATGAAAAAATTATTTTAAAACTATCAATATAAATGATAAGACACTGACAGTGAGTTTTTCAATCCTAATACTGTCGTTACCCTGTTTATTAAGTTAATGCTTTGATTAAAGGTAATGACCGAGTGAAATAATTACATCGCACGTCTACTAGATGGCAAAATTAATCGTTAGCTATAGAAATGAATTAAACAATAAATAAGCTTTAAAAACAGCAACAACTAAGTGTTTGTAATTGATCCAGACACTCGAATAATTATAACGACAGTCTACATCTAATCACAGAAAATAATAAAATTTCAATTTATCCTTATAAAACTATTTAATAATTATTCACTGTATGTTGAATTCGCGGAATTTTAGTTTCCGCGAATATAGCGAAAATTAACTCCGCGAGTTAATTTCCTGCTGTACAGTACCACGGTCCGATTTTGTCAGAATCAGAATTAATCTGGTACCGCAGCTGAATGTAAACAAACAGGCCAGTCTGGTTCCCTCTCCTGCTTTACCTCGTATGTGTAGAGAACTACGGTAACACTGATTATCAAAAATCCTTACGCTAATAACCTGTGTTCTTTGACTTATGAAGTTTTCAAAGTCATTACTAATAATGTTTAATTTATATAGATAAAACTTCGTTTTATTTTTGTTGCTTTATTTAGTGTTTGTATTATCTCAAAAGCGGTTGAGAGTAAGAATTATATTTTTGCACGTAACTTTAAAATGGCGACTATGGGGTTATCATCCTGTCTTGAACAGGATCACATAAGCCGGCAATTGCTCTTTGAGCAATAAGCCCGGCTAATTATGATATCGGACAACGCAACCACCTATGTTGCTTCTTCTAGGGAAATCAAAAAGTTAACATCTTCACACAGTCTTCAAGAAACCTTAAACACCAATAGTACAAGATGGAAATTCATACCTAAGAGAGCACCCTGGTACGGCGGCTTCTGGGAACGACTAATAGGACTTACAAAGAACTGCCTAAGGAAAGTACTAGGAAGATCCTTTGTAAATTTAGATGTCCTGAACACAATCATCGTAGAAATTGAGCGCATTCTGAATGACCGTCCTCTGACCTATGCATCAGCCGTCCCATTGGACGAAGATCCCCTAACACCCTCTCATCTACTGTATGGAAGGAAAATCAAGTCATTCCCTTATCCTGGGAGTTCCAATGAAGAAAACGTAACAACTGATTTGAACCACGTATCTGCGAACGAAACTTACAACATTCAACAAAAAGCCATTCAACACTTTTGGCAACGCTGGAGAAAGGAATACTTAACATCCTTAAGAGAATATCATCGCAGCCATGAAAAAAGCAAACAAAATATCCAGACCGGAGACATCATGCATTTATTTATTTATTTAATATGCATTTATTTATTTATTTTTTTTTTTAACTATTTTGGTTGCATACAATGCAAAAAAAATATCAAAAAATGGTAAACGTTTTCTTACTATTCAAAATTATGCCTTCCTGCAAACATCTTTATTGATTTACATATCAAATATATCGTATACATATCGTATACAATTTTTTTTCACTTCAAAAAGCTACAATATGTATGCTGTAAAACTTATTCGATCATTTTACTTATATAAACATGACTTAAGTTGTTTTAAATTTTGATAAAAACTTCTTTGCATCGTGTGTTCTTAATACAAAAATAGGCTTTGCTTTATTGGCGTGGGCTTCCGAAATGCTCGCCACGGAAATCTGCGCACTAAACCTTAATTAGTCCTACCTTAACAATTTGCAAACTGGACGATTTTTATACTGAATGATACATTGTATATCTTTTCAAGGGCATTTAAAAATAAACAATCTTCCGTTTGTTAGGAGATCCTCTCTCTGACCTATTGTGCGCTTTTCACAGCGAACACTTTTTGATGAATTTAACCCCAGAAATTTGTGGAAACTGGCAAAGATTGAGGAGCTTATTTCCGGCCAAGATGGACTTATAAGATCTGCGTTATTAAAGACCAAAAATGGTATAACTTCTAGGCCAATTACGAAACTGTATCCATTAGAATTAAATTCTGGGGACGATAACGAACCTTCAATACCTACAAAGGATCGTGAGGCAAAACTGAAAGCCATTAAACAGATTTCCAGCCATTCTAAGTGAAATAATCTAATTTTGATATGATATTGTGAATAACTTTTTAAAAAGAAATCAATGCATTTTTTAGCTAAACCGCTTCTTATTTTTTCAGTCCAAAGACTTTCTTATTTTAAACTTTGTGGGCCGGAGAATGTTATGAATTATAGACAGTAATGCTTTTCTAATTTACCTTTCAATACAATTATTTAGGATCTTTAAGACGCCTCCATTTAGGAAACAATAAAATTCTGACACTGTTTGAAGGAGCTTTTTTAGGTCTCGGCAAATTGGAAGAACTACAGCTGCATAGAAACCGCATTAACACGCTACCTAGCCGTTTATTTGCGCCATTTAATCGTCTCATAAGGTTGGAACTTCAACAAAACAAATTGAAAACAATACAAAACTCCACCAAAACCTTTGCATCAATGACGTCATTGAAATATTTAAATTTAGCTGACAATGGCTGTTCGTCTCTTCCCTCTACACTGTTCTCAAATCTGAAATCGTTACAGAAGCTAGAGCTGAGTGGAAACAAGCTTGGAAAATATTTACTGAATGATTTCGGAGGAAATTTATTTTTGGGATTGGAGAAGCTTGAATTTCTTGATATATCAAGCAATCAGATCCATTCCTTTCCTTATAACATATTCAGAGACACGAAGAGTCTCAATTTCTTGCTTCTACAGGATAACTGGATATCTGGATGGGGAGTGAACCTTTTCTCCCATTCTATTTCTCTTTCTTCTTTGGATTTGTCAAATAATATGATTACAATCATCAACGAAGGGAATATGAAGAATTTAGGATCATTAAAGACTGTCAACTTTACAAACAATCCCTTTGCTTGCACCTGTGATTTGCGTTGGTTTCGGAGATGGATCAAAAACACAAAAACAAAAGTGATAAACCTTCAAAAATATGAATGTAATTCCCCTGCTGAATGGAAAGGCAAATTGCTGATTTCTTTTGATGACACCAAAATTGAATGTTCTCTTGTGTCCCTTTCAGCAGCTGTAGGAATAGCTTTCGGAGTTCTTGGTGGAAGTTTAGTTATTGCTTTTATTATCTATCAACGTCGCTTCCATATGATATATCAATGGTATAGGATGAAAAGGCAGATTTTCAGGAAGCATGGAGACTATGAAGAGATTAGAAATGAGGAATTTGATGCTTGCCTTATTTATTGGGAAACATCCGAGGATCAAGAATGGATCGAAAAATATTTTATGCCAGACTTTGATTTAGGAACCTCAGACGATGATTATCATGGTGCATACAAAATTTATTATCATGAACGTGACACAATGGCGAATTTTCGGACCTTAGAAACAATGATGGATATCATGGAAAAGAGCAGGAAAATCATTTTAGTGGTAACAAAGCATTTAAAGTCGTATCCTCCTGGACAGTTTCTGATCTCAGAGGCTCTGACATTACGAGCGGATACACTTAGTGACATTATTATTGTTACGGTAGGGGAAATTTCATTTGCAGATGTACCTCGACTGCTGCATACAAAATTCAAGATAGGTGATCACATTGAATGGAAAGAAAATGATACAAATTGCGAAAGTGCCTTCAAAGTAACAATGAAAGTAAAGCTGGGCATCCCCATGAAAAATAATGAATTTGAGATGCATTGACTTGTTCAATGAATTAAGACTTACTATTTGATAACAGCTATATATATAGAAGCTTAACTCTTCGTTAGACAATTGAAATGATAAAATAATTTACAATTCTTACACCCTACAAATACACAGTATTGTTTATTTATAGCATCACCATTCATGTACAGAAATGACATCGGCTTTTTTCATTACAAATTCAAAGGATGGTGGTCCCCCGATTTCGATGTTTAAGTGGATGGGATGATGTCAATTATGGCATATTGTGTCAAACATAACCGCCCTATCATATGTCATTCAAAAGTAATCACCAAAGTTAAAATTTTTGAAATTAGGTCAAACATGAAGGTCAAGGGGCTCAAAACATCTTGTTACAGGTAATGCACATGTCAAATATGAAAGCCCTATCTTTCTTAATCAGAAGTTATAAGGAAAGATAATATTTTTGAAAAGTAGGTCAAACTTCAAGGTCAAGGTTATAGGATAAAAATGTTTGTATAATTAGAAAGATCTTGTCACAGGTATATGTAGTTTAATCTCCACTCATTATTTGACAGACTACACTTCAAGTAATATAACACATATGCTGTAAGCAAGGTTAGCCTTGTGGGAGCAGCTGACGTTTATTTTGATTGTCAATTTGTTACATGTACTAACATGCATTATTCACCATCACAGGGCATGGGTTTTGTTTGTGATTGTTTGTACAAATAAAATCCCGTAGCTTGTGACGGTGTAAAAAATAACTACAAAAGGCTATTGATGTAAATACTTGATCTAAAAATATTTAAATCAAATTCCCGAAATTACATGTACTTTTACATGGCTTACTTAAAATATGACACAGTTTATGTTATCTGGTATCAAAATGAATTGTTATGCAAATACAACAATTTTTTTTTATTTCTAAGTAGATGTCTTGGCTATTCACCATCCTGAAAACTCTCATTTTTACCTACTATTATAGTCAAGATAAAGTGACGACTGCGCTTATCTGCACTTTTCTAATTCTACCTTTTTATCTATCTAGAACAAACTTATGTAAAAGGAAACAGTCTTAAGGGTAAAGTTTTTTTTTCACTTTTATGAATTGCTTAAAGATATTTTGAATATCACTTATTTAAATTGAAAAATAGCTTAGGAATTTTCAGAAGTATAATAAAAAGCGTAATTATTTGTGTATTGGCATGTTCGCTAATTTTGGAATTCGAAAAAATATTATTTATTTATCAATATAAAATGAATATCTTCTGCTGGAAAAGAAAAAAGGGTTGGCTTTAAGGTTACAAAGATCTACCATCTATTCAATTTTTATCCATTTATTTTACATTTTATATCTACTATTTCTATGAATTTGTCATGATTGGGGACAAGGCTTTACTACAGACTTGGACTTAACACCTCTATGAAAGCCATGTTTGTGATGGATTTCTACTGGATAGTATAAAATGGTAGTTCAAATACTATCATCAGTGCTGTTGTAATCAGTGCTAATGAATTATTCACTTCCAAAAATAATTATGAAGATGTACGAAACTTCATTATACTTCAATAATGCGTTACAGTTGTTCATTCTCGTATGACTGAAACGTGTAATATGTCTTGTACTTTAAAAATCCCGACATTCAGGTAAATCAAGTTGAAATTTTAAATACCCAATTAACTCTGCAAGCAAAACATTCATGAATAAAATTCGACCCGCTTCTATGTCATCTTCTTTCACGGTATGCATGTTGCTAAAACGTCTTATTGGTTGTGGATTAAATCGGTCTGAGTTATACGCTTTAAAGGTAAGCGTATAGAAACTTTTTTTTTCTATTTCACAATGTAAGAAGTATTTACATACTCAAGTCAAGTAAATTTTATTTATAGTGGGCACATATATACAGCACAACAGAAATAACATGAGCTGTGGTAAGCTCCCTAAATTATCCTAAGATAGAGCAGTTTTTACGTCAATTTCCTTTTTTACCAGGGTTTCCCAGCATGTGCAGAAGACTATTATACGCATGCATCTCTTTAGGACACCTGCTTCTCGTAACAGGAAAGCGGTGTCCCGCACCTTGTTCTTGTCACAAAGATGTTGTCAATTGCAGTGGGAAAAACTTGAACGAATTCCGAAAAATCTACCTCCCTCCACAAAAAATCTGCTTCTTGGTCATAAATGTATTCAAAATATCATAAAGAGTGACTTCTGTGTCTTAAAAAACCTTGTGGAATTACAGTTACAGAATAACAAAATCGAATCAATTTTGTCCGACACGTTCACGGGTGCCTGCATTCCAAATATTCAGACAATTCGACTGGAAAATAATAAGATAAACGTGACTGGCGAAAGTGCATTCTACAATCTATCGGTACTTGTTAATACGACGTTGACAAATAACAAATTAGTTAATATGCATCCTAACACATTTCGTGGCACTTCTTTAAAGTTTTTACATTTGGGAAGTAATCATCTAACCACAATACCAAACTTACAAGGCCTAAGTGGTCTTAATAATATAGTATTGGAGGGAAATAAAATACAGAACTGTACTTTCCCAAGTGAGTTTGCGACCATGTCCAATTTGACAACAATCGGAATGAGCAACAACAAAATACAGGAATTGTCCAAAGACGCCTTTATAGGTCTTAAACATGGTAAAGTACGTACACTTAAACTAGCCCGAAATAATTTATCAAAAATTTCAAATGAAAGTTTATTACCTTTGTCAAACCTACAGTCTCTTACAATTGGTTGGAATCCATTAACAGACACTGAACTGAATACTCCCTTGTCTTCTCTTAGCATCTCAAGTGTACAGTTAAACGGACTCATTCCATCTCTCTCTCTGAAGGTGCTGGACGCTGTGAACTTGTCAACTCTAGATATGAGTTTTAACGAAATTAATAATATTCCATCTGAAGGATTTAAAACGCTGACAAAATTAAACATTTTAGATCTGAGTAATTGTGGAATTCGTTATATTCATGAAAACGCCTTCATTGGACTCAAAAACCTTAACAATCTTCAACTGAGCAATAATTATGTACAATCGGTACCTAAGAATATACCTAAGAATTTGTTATATCTTTATATGTCTGGAAATCAAGTCAATGTTTTAAGAAATAATTCTTTCTCAGATTTAAGATCTTTAAGACGTCTTCATTTAGGGAACAATAAAATTCTTACACTGTTTGGAGAAGCCTTTTTAGGTCTCAACAAATTGGAAGAACTGCAGCTGTATGGAAACCGCATTAATACTCTACCTAGCCGATTATTTGCTCCGTTCATCCGTCTAATTCAATTGGAACTTCAACAAAACAAATTGAAAACGATACAAAACTCAACCAAAACATTTGCCTCGATGACGTCATTGAAATATTTAAATTTAGCTGATAATGGTTGTTCCTCTCTTCCTTCAACTCTGTTTTCAAATCTGAAATCGCTGCAGACCTTACATCTTCGTGGAAATCAGCTTGGAAAATATTTACTAAATGATTTCGGAGGAAATTTATTTTTTGGATTGGAGAAGCTTGAATTTCTTGATATATCAAGCAATCAGATCCATTCCTTTCCCTCTAACATCTTCAGAGACACGAGGAATCTCCATACCTTGCTTCTTCAAGATAACTGGATATCTGGATGGGGAGCGAGTCTTTTCTCCAATTCTATTTCTCTTTCTTCTTTGGATTTGTCAAATAATATGATTACAATCATCAACGAAGGGAATATGAAGAATTTAGGATCATTAGAGTCTGTAAACATTACAAACAATCCCTTTGCGTGCACTTGTGATTTGCGTTGGTTTCGGAGGTGGATCAAAAACACAAAAACAAATGTGACAAACTTTCAAAAATATAAATGTAATTCCCCTGCTGAATGGAAAGGCAAATCGCTGAATTCTTTTGATGACACCAAAATTGAATGTTCTCTTGTGTCCGTTTCAGTAGCTGTAGGAATTTCTTGTGGTGCATTAGTAGTAAGTATTATAAGTGCTTACATAATATATCAAAATCGATTTAATATTATGTTTCTACGGTATCGTATGAAAAAATGGTTCGCAAGGAAACATGGAGGCTACGAAGAGATTAGGAATAAAGAATATGATGCTTGCCTTATTTACTCAGAATCATCCGATGAGGATAAGAAATGGATCAAAACAAATTTTCTCCCAGACATTGATAGGGAAACCGAAGACGATGATCACCATGGTGAATATAAAATTTATTATCAGGAACGTGACACATTGGGAAATGCAAGTACTTTAGAAACTATGCTGGACGTCATGGAGAAAAGCAGAAAAATCATTTTAGTGGTAACAAAAAATTTAAAGTCGTACCCTCCCGTACATTATTTGATCACAGTGGCTTTATGGTTACAGGGAGATTTGATTGATGATATTATTTTTGTATCAGTAGGGGACGTTTCATTCGCAGATGTACCGCGACTGCTTCATACAAAATTCAGAATAGGTGATCAAGTTCAGTGGAAACAAAATAATATAAATTGCAATCGAGTTTTTAAGGAAAGGATTAAGGAAGAGTTGGGTAACCCGCTCACAGTTTAGGATACAGAGATGCACTATCCTGTAGAATGAACATATACTTTTTATTTATATGATAATGACAAGATGTTGGATGTTAAAAGGGAGTTCCACGAGATCCAATGTGTAACTTTTTAACAAATGAATGTGTTAATGAAAATGGTACTGTGTCAACTTTTTTCTGAAATCATGCAATATAAAAATTCTTAAATCAGAATAACACCGCAATAGTATAATCCACACTTTGCAGAAGTTGTGTCCCTTTGCGGGGTCATCCAAAAGGTCAAAAGGAAAAGAAATGATATTTCTACTCTTTATGCTACCAAACATTTGGGCGTGCTCTGAGAAATCCACTTTGTTAATTTTTTTTCACTCAATAGATGTGTAGCCCCAGATTGGGGCTTAACATTTTTTTTGTCAGATGACAAAGTAAAAAAGCAGAACACTACAAAGGATACTGTAAGGATTCTATGGTTTTTTCCCAAAAGATGGCGGTCATGGGACATAACTTTTCAAAAGTGTGGATTCAAATAATATTTTAAAATTTGGCATTAAATCATTTTACATTTAAAGCATTAATAATATTAACATTACAGAACTTCTCAGAGACAAAAGAGACAAAACTATAATGAAATCATGACAAGGAGTACACGGCGGATGTGACCGGTTGGCAGGGAATGTTCATCTTATGGAAAGAACGATTATAGGCATTTATGCCTGCTGTTCAATCCATTTCTTAATGAATAAAATATATTTTAAACTAATGTTCATCCCTCCATGGTACCTGATCCCACCTCTGATGCTTTGGAGGTCCGTGTTTGCTGTAATCCAATTTTGAATTGTTTAATGGACTTTTGAACTTGAATACTGTTCGTCATCTCCATATACCCGGTGTTTCATGAATGAACGTGAAATGATTTCTGAAGCAAAACATGTTCTAGAACTTACGATATGATGACTTTAAACGAGACTTATATTCTTCTTACATCAACTTGTTTGTCAATAGATTACCTCGTTTTAGAAATTGGTTATACGTAGAGCATGTTGTTGTGTATCAAATCAACTGAGATATAAACCCCTTATGCATTTGATAAGGGTATATTGCTGCATAGGTGAGGGAAGTTGACGATTGAAAAGTTGTAGTCATCACTTTTGTCGTAAAGCTTTGTTACGTTTAACTTTTTCTCAATTAAAATATTCAAGTGTGAAACAGATGTGTCAGACTCTGTGGTATCTTTTTATTTCAAGCTCACTGGGATATATCGTGTCGACATAGGAAAAGATATATCTTTTGTTAATTGATAATACGTCGACGATACATATATAAATGTTGTGTTGAAGACAACAGCAAGTGTTTTCTTCTTTTCATGTGTAAGATATCGAATAAATTCTGCTTTATATGAATGCAAAAAATAAGTCTGCTTATAATTGCCACAATTGGTACTAAGAAGAATTTCAACAAATTGTTGGTAGGTCTGGTCTAAAAATAAACATATAGATACTGTCAATGAGAAACTCAAGCATCTCTTTAATATCAACTTCGGAGTACTTGTGTGTACAATTAGAATGTTTTTAACCTTTAAGAATTTTGTAAATGACAAGTAACTAATCATTGGGAGTAGTTGAATAAAGTTGTATATTTCTTGGTGATTATATAATTATGTGCATTATATTTTTTGTGTGTGTTCCTGAATAAATTGCTTATTTACTCTTTATCATATCATGTGTTCGAGCGAAGGAACAAATGAAAATTTATTGTAAGAAATTAGTTTTTATGTAGTTATACTTTAAATAATAGATGTATTTCATTTTTTTTTTAAATATATTCACCCCTTCTAGTATTATTGTTGTTAAATTAGATGATTTACATCCAATGTTAGCTCAAACAATTAAAGGTCAGTTATATGAACTCAAAAATATTGACCCATCAAAATATGAAGAAAGAAGTCATAAATTTTTAAAAATTCTTTTGAAACGGGAAGTTAAGGTAATTCCACCCTCCTGTCATAGGTTTTTGCAAAAACTGTAATTAGTTTAAATTCATACCTAATAGAACAATATCTTTTGGAAGAATGCTTTACAATAGGTGTAATGATAAATATTGTAAAGTAAAAGAATTTTAAAAATGCACATTTTCTTTATCTAATCAATTATTCAGTCTTTAAAAATGGTTACAAGGGCAATAACACCTTCGAAGGTTTCTTCATTCAGGCATTTGCTTTATTGTACTTCCAATATAAAATAGTTTCCATGATATTCACAATTCCAAAGTATCTTATAAGTAGGAAGTATTAAGGAACATTCAGCATCAGAATTATGCATTTTAACCAGTTCTAACATGTATTTTTCATTATACTGTTTACAAAAAAATGTGCGATTTCTTATGTTGACATACAAGTCTGTTTATTTATGTTTCGCATCTTAAATAATATGGTGACCTATACATTTATTAAATGAAAATAAATGCAGTTTTTGTACCTTGAACCATTAAAATTGTGAGGGTGGGTCTTCACCGGGAATTACAAGTAAGATTTTCAGTGTGATACGCAGAGGATCGATGATGCATGAACATATTTTTGTTGATTGCTGATTATTCAAAAAATATAAAGAAAAGATTACAATATTATTTTGAAAAATGTTTAGTTGCCCTCTCCCGACCGACTGACTGAAACTTATATCATAATAAAAATTGCAGTAAATATAAGAATGAAACAAATTTTATGAGTTTGCAGTTTTAGTCTGTCAAAAGATAACGGACGCGAGCTTACAGATAAAAGTAATTAAAGAGGCTGATCAATAGGAATTAAACTTTTAAATCGGACGGTCCCACGAAATAGATCATGGGAATGCAGCTGCTACTTGCTTGTTTATGAAAAGATATATTTGGTTAGGGTGAATAAGGAACCAATGGTAATGAAGTGACCAGAGATCAGATATTTGAATAAATTAGCTACAACAAATAATATTTAAAGATTATGCAAAAGATTGGAAATTATTTTAAAAGTGCATTAGAAATTTTAAAAGTGCAATTGGTGTAATGATAAATATTGTAAAGCTAAAGAATTTTAAAAATTCAAGGTCAGAATAATTAATTAAAATTCAAATAAAAATTTAAAGTAATAATTGCAAATTTTGAAGGAGTTACAAATATGGAGATGTAAATCGACAAAGGTACACCTAGTATAAAATGACTGGCCGGGATAGACAGAACTTCAGTGGAAAGCTGAATCTTGACTGTCTTGGTTGCATTTTATACAGGTGAGATTATTTTGTAGACTTGCTCATGTTTTGATCAAATTATTAAATTTTCACATGGCTTATTTTATTTACAAGTTAAACTTTTTATATTATAAGTAGTTATAGTTTTAATATGGTTTAGCATCTTTTGTAAAATTATTTATTGTAATTATAAATATTAGAAAAAAATTGTTTAACTTAATAAAGAGTGGAAAGCTGAATCTTACTGTCTTGGTTGCATTTTTATAATTGGGTAACATCTCCACTCCCCAACCATGGCCGCCGCTCTGGTCAACAAGTTTAAAAGGAATTAATATAACAAAAGATAGTATAACAAATTGAGCCATCCCGGTACCTCCACAAGGCAAGCGAGTTTACGCTAGTTCGAGCCAATAAAATAATCTGCTGATGGAAATCAAAGAAAAAAAAGATATAATCTGCTTATAGGGAAAAACAAACAAAGAACAATATTCCTTTTATTAATTTTATAAACTTACCTGATTCAAAACTTTTTTTAAAATTCAATACAAGAACACGATATTTTCTTTCGTTTTATCCCTCTTGTTCCGTCAACAGATATGTTGAAATTTTGTGAAAAAAAATTTTCCCACCTACCTACAGACCCACCAAATAGCTTAACCCTGAGAAGGTAGAGGGCAAAAAATATTTTAAAGAAGACCTAATGGAAACCATTTCATAAATCAATTTTAATTTTCTTTTTGACACCTGCTGAGAAACTAATAAATTGATTAAATTAAACTATTAAATTTTTTTTTAATTTTCAATGAAATGGATGAAAGGTACAGTGTAGTCAGGGATATATTTTGTACAATGAATAACCAGTAAAATAGATCGTTGCTTATTGCACAAGCGAATCCCCCCTTTCTTATGACTTAAATAATTTATGAAAAAGTGCCATCGCAGTGCAATCAGTCATTATGAATGAAATTCAAAATATACTGCTAAGCATGAATTATTGTTAAACGTTATTGTTATATATGGCGTGTCTGAGCTAAAAATTAATATAATACAAGATCGAGTGTATATAAGATGTACGAAACTTCATTATACTTCAATAATGCGTTACAGTTGTTTATTCTCGTATGATTGAAACGTGTAATATGTCTTGTACTTTAAAAATCCCGACATTCAGGTAAATAAAGTTGAAATTTTAAATACCCAATTTAGTCTGCAAGCAAAACAATCTTGAATAAAATTCGACCCGCTTCTATGTCATCTTCTTTCACGGTATGCATGTTGCTAAAACGTCTTATTGGTTGTGGATTAAATCGGTCTGAGTTATACGCTTAAAAGGTAAGCGTATAGAAACTTTTTTTCCTATTTCACAATGTAAGAAGTATTCACATACTCAAGTCAAGTCAAGTAAATTTTATTTATAGTCAGCACATATATACAGCACAATAGAATTAACATGAGCTGTGGTAAGCTCCCTAAATTATACTAAGATAGAGCAGTTTTTACGTCAATTTACTTTTTTACCAGGGTTTCCCAGCATGTACAGAAGACTATTATACGCATGCATCACTCTAGGACACATGCTTCTAGTAACAGGAAAGCGATGTCCCGCACCTTGTTCTTGTCACAAAGATGTTGTCAATTGCAGTGGGAAAAAACTTGAACGAATTCCGAAAAATCTACCTCCCTCCACAAAAACTCTGCTTCTTGGTCATAACCGTATTCAGGATATCAAAAAGAGTGACTTCTGTGTCTTAAAATACCTTGTGGAATTACAGTTACAGAATAACAAAATCGAATCAGTTTTGTCCGACACGTTCACGGGTGCCTGCATTCCAAATATTCAGACAATTCGACTGGAAAATAATAATATAAACGTGACTGGCGAAAGTGCATTCTACAATTTATCGGTGCTTGTTAATACGACGTTGACAAATAACAAATTAGTTCAGATGCATCCTAACACATTTCGTGGCACTTCTTTAAAGTTTTTACATTTGGGAAGTAATCATCTAACCACAATACCAAACTTACAAGGCCTAAGTGGTCTTAATAATATAGTATTGGAGGGAAATAAAATACAGAACTGTACTTTCCCAAGTGAGTTTGCGACCATGTCCAATTTGACAACAATCGGAATGAGTAAAAACAAAATACAGGAATTGTCTAAAGACGCCTTTATAGGTCTTAAACATGGTAAAGTACGTACACTTAAACTAGCCCGAAATAATTTATCAAAAATTTCAAATGAAAGTTTATTACCTTTGTCAAACCTACAGTCTCTTACAATTGGTTGGAATCCATTAACGGACACTGAACTATATAATGCATTATCCGGGTTGGTGAATACTCCCTTGTCTTCTCTTAGCATCTCAAGTGTACAGTTAAACGGACTCATTCCATCTCTCTCTCTGAAGGTGCTGGAAGCTGTGAACTTGTCAACTCTGGGTATGAGTTTTAACGAAATTAATAATATTCCATCTGAAGGGTTTAAAACTCTGACAAAATTAAACATTTTAGATCTGAGTAATTGTGGAATTCGTTATATTCATGAAAACGCCTTCATTGGACTCAAAAACCTTAACAATCTTCAACTGAGCAATAATTATATACAATCGGTACCTAAGAATATACCTAAGAATTTGTTATATCTTTATATGACTGGAAATCAAGTCAATGTTTTAAGAAATAATTCTTTTTCAGATTTAAGATCTTTAAGACGTCTTCATTTAGGAAACAATAAAATTCTGACACTGTTTGGAGAAGCCTTTTTAGGTCTCAACAAATTGGAAGAACTGCAGCTGTATGGAAACCGCATTAATACTCTACCTAGCCGATTATTTGCTCCGTTCACTCGTCTAATTCAATTGGAACTTCAACAAAACAAATTGAAAACGATACAAAACTCAACCAAAACATTTGCCTCGATGACGTCATTGAAATATTTAAATTTAGCTGATAATGGTTGTTCCTCTCTTCCTTCAACACTGTTCTCAAATCTAAAATCGCTGCAGACCTTACATCTTCGAGGAAATCAGCTTGGAAAATATTTACTAAACGATGTCGGAGGACATTTATTTCTGGGACTGAAGAAGCTTGAATTTCTTGATATATCAAGCAATCAGATCCATTCCTTCCCCTCTAACATCTTCATAGACACGAGGAATCTCCATACATTGCTTCTGCAAGATAACTGGATATCTGGATGGGGAGCGAGTCTTTTCTCCAATTCTATTTCTCTTTCTTCTTTGGATTTGTCAAATAATATGATTACAATCATCAACGAAGGGAATATGAAGAATTTAGGGTCATTAGAGTCTGTAAACGTTACAAACAATCCCTTTGCGTGCACTTGTGATTTGCGTTGGTTTCGGAGGTGGATCAAAAACACAAAAATAAAAGTGATAAACGTTAAAAAATATAAATGTAATTCCCCTGCTGAATGGAAAGGCAAATTGCTGATTTCTTTTGATGAAACCAAAATTGAATGTTCTCTTGTGTCCGTTTCAGTGGCTGTAGGAATTTCGTCTGGTGTATTAGTAGAAAGTATTGTAAGTGCTTTCATAATATATCAAAATCGATTTAATATTATATATCTACGGTATCGTATGAAAAAATGGTTCGCAAGGAAACATGGAGGCTACGAAGAGATTAGGAATAAAGAATATGATGCTTGCCTTATTTACTCAGAATCATCCGATGAGGATAAGGAATGGATCGAAACAAATTTTCTGCCAGACTTTGATAGGGGAAAGGAAAACGATGATTACCATGGTGAATATAAAATTTATTATCAGGAACGTGACACTTTGGGAAATGCAAGTACTTTAGAAACTTTAATGGACGTCATGGAGAAAAGCAGAAAAATCATTTTAGTGGTAACAAAAAATTTTAGGTTGTACCCTTTAGCACATATTCTGATCACAGTGGCTTTATGGTTACAGGGAGATTCAATTGATGACATTATTATTGTTACAGTGGGGGAAATTTCATTCGCAGATGTACCACGCCTTCTTCATTTCAAATGCGTAGGTGATCAAGTTGAGTGGAAACACAATAATATAAATTGCAATCGAGTTTTTAAGGAGAAGATGAAAGAGGAGTTGGGTAACCCGCTCAGAGATTTTGATACAGAGATGCACTCCCCTGTTGAATGAACATATACTTTTTATTTATATAATAATGACAAAATGTTGGATGTTAAAAGGGAGTTTCAAGGGATACAATGTGTAACTTTTTAACAAATGAATGTGTTAATGAAAATGGTACTGTGTCAATTTTTTCTGAAATCATGCAATATAAATATTCTTGAATAAGAATACCACCGCAATACAATCCACACTTTGCAGAAGTTGTGTCCCTTTGCGGGGTCATCCAAAAGGTCAAAGGGAAAGAAATGACATTTCTCCTCTGTATGCTACCAAACATTTGGGCGTGCTCTGAGAAATCCACTCTGTTTAATTTTTTTCACTCGATACTGTAAACCAAGTATTATACGCGTGCGATAAATATCCGCGAGTTCCGCGAGTTCCGCGAGTAATTGGGGCTAAAGTTGTTCATATTTGTGGTATGATTAGAGTTATTTGCCCTTTTTTGAATACCGATCTCAATGGTTCAATACGTAATCACGGAAGAACTTTAGTGTAATAGAAGCAGTTGAAATTTAAAACAAATATAAAAACGAATGGCAAATCTAAAACTATTTATCTAAAAATGATTAAAATGTCAATAATTATTTCAGCTTGTGTTATTATTGTTCATTTATTGTCACAGACGAGTTAGAGATAGCCTGGTTAATTAAGACTAATTATGGCCCAGTCCTGTTCCGTCCCAACCATTTATAATAATTGCGCTTTGGCTATGTAGGTCTTAGAAAGCGTCGATTACTTAATTAGTATGAGGCACTTTTACAATTGAGAGTTTTAAATCAACTTTAATCTCCTAGATTTTTCCCCCGATTTCATTCGAGCGTCGTGAATAATGTGTAAGAAGTATACTTATGGTAACATTTTACCCACTTTAGGGGCGGATATAAGATTTTAAATGGCCGCAATGCGCAGAATGTCTTGAATACTGCGTAAGCAGTACTCACGGTTGCATTTTACCTTAGACTAGTTTATGGGCGGATATAAAATTTAAATTTGAAGCAAAAAAATACTTTATGAAATAAAAAATGTGACCACTTGTTCGCGGAAATAAGTCGTCGCGGATTAGTTCGCTAGCGGTCAGTCGCGAATAAAAAATGACGCGTATAATAATTGGTTTACAGTAGATGTGTAGCCCCAGACTGGGGCAATCAACATGATGCACACATTTTTTTTAGTCAGGTGACAAATTTACAAACCAGAAAACTAAAAAGGCTACTGTAAGGATTCTATGGATTTTTCCCCAAAGATCGCGGTCAAGAGACATATCTTTTGAAAAGTGTGGATTCAACTTTTATTTTAAAATTTGACATTAAATTATTTTGCATTAAAAGCATTCACAACATAACATTACAAAACTTTTCAGAGACAAAACTTTAATGAAATCATGATAAGGAGTACACGGCGGATGTGACAGGTTGGTAGGGAATGCTCATCCCTCCATGGTACCTGATCCCATCTCTGATGTTTTGGAGGTCTGTGTTTGCTTTACTGCAATTTTGCATTGTTTAATGGACTTAAGCTTTTGAGCTTGAATACTGTTCGTCATCTCCATATATTTCATGAAAGTGAATTGATTCCTGAAACAAAACGTGTTCTAGAACTTACGATATGATGACTTTAAACGAGACTTATATTCGACTTACATCAACTTGTTTGTCAATAGATTACCTCGTTTTAGAAATTGGTTAAACGTAGAGCATGTTGTGTATCGAATCAACTGAGATATAACCCTTTATGCATTTGATAAGGGTATATTGCTGCATAGGTGAGGGAAGTTGACGATTGAAAAGTTGTAGTCATCACTTTTGTCGTAAAGCTTGGTTACGTTTAACATTTTCTTAATTAAGATATTCGTTAATTATATATGTGAAACAGATGTGTCAGACTCAATGGTATCTTTTTATTTCAAGCTCACTGGGATATATCGTGTCGACATAGGAAAAGACATATCTTTTGTTAATTAATAATATGTCGACGATATATATAAATGTCGTGTTGAAGACAAAAGCAAGTGTTTTCTTCTTTTCATGTGTAAGATATTGAATATATTCTGCTTCATTTAAATGCAAAAAACATGTCTGCTTATAACGGGGCACAATTGGTACTCGGGAGAATTTCAACAGATTGTTGGTAGGCCTGGTCTAAAAAAACACATGGATACTGTCAATGAGAAACTCATATATCTTTTTAGTATCAATTTCGAGTACTTTTGCGTACAATCAGAATGTTTTTAAAAAAAGAATTTTGCAAATTATCAATGACAAGTAACCAATCATTGGGTGTAGTTGAATAAAGTTGTATATTTCTTGTTTTGTATATACCGGTCACGGAAGCCTAGTGGTAGAGCGTTCGCTTCGTGATCGGGAGGCCCGGCATCGATTCTCGATCGCGGCGCCGCGTCATACCTAAGACGTAAACAAAGGTAGTGAGTTCCTTCGCCAAGCGCTCGGCACTAGAAGTGAAAGTCACGGGTCTTTCGGATGTGACCTTAAAAACGTAGGTCCCGTGTTACGGTAGGCGCTGGCACGATAAAGAACCCTCACTGCTCAATGGCCCTGAGTGCCGAGTATAGGTCTAAATTTGAAGCCCTTCACCGGCATGCGGTGACGTCTCCTTATGAGTGAAAAATACTCAAGAGGGACGTTAAACAATATACAATCAATCAATCTTGTTGTGTATATGATTATATGCATTATATATTTTTGGGTGTTCCTGAATAAATTGCTTATTTTTTCTAAATCATTTCAAGTGTTCGAGCGATGGAACAAAGAAATTGTTTTAAAAAATGCTCACGTCAATACGTAATTTTAGACAGTTTTCCAGGCAATCGAAATGAAATTCAATGTGGTACATGTAATTATGTTAGCGCATCACAGAGCAGTAGAATTAGAATGGAGCTGTACTGACTTTTAAATAATAAAAAAAGACTGAGCATAAATGATTTGTATCCAATGTTAGCTCAAACAATGTAAGGTTAGTTATCTGCAATCAAAAATATTGACCCATCAAAATATGAGAAAAAAAAAAATCATAAATTGTATTGAAAAGGGAATTTATAAGGTCTTCCACTGGAATGACAAGGAAGAAATGTTCAGTATTATAAACAGAGGGTCGAAGATGGACATCATTTTTGTAGATTTTTTTAAAAAAATATGAAACATATGGAGATAGTTTTCAAAATCAACAGTACATAAATCAATACAAAAAATTGGAAGTGGGATCAGGTGCCATGGAAGAGTGAGCATATCGCTGCAAACCGGTCACACCCGCCGTGTGCTCATTGTCATGATCGGGAAATAAAGGAATAATCCGTCGTCAATTCAGTGTAAAAATAATGGACTATCAATAAGTTATAAAAACATCCCTCAGCATTTGACACGAAAAATAACCGATATATGGATTGTTCTGTATATTTTTGGATCGATTTATGGTTGGGTAACTACATTTTGGAAGTCCAGGTAACACATGTTGATAAAATAACCCTTCACTGACAATTTGAGCCGAAATCCGTGCGGGAGTGAATCGCTGCCTAACCAGCTATGTATCTTTGTTTGTAAAGATTCTTATGAAGTTTCGGAAACCAATATATATATATGGTAGTTCAAATTCATTTTGTTTCTTTGGGATATTAAAAATATTCAAAACTGACACATGATTTTGAAGAACCTCTTCCTTAGAAAAGGATCTATGGATTACCACTTGTAGAATTGAATACAAGTTTTTCTAGATCTAAAACATAATTTTTATAATGAGTCTTACAAACGAAGACAATGTTGTTACCTGCTTTGTCAGCAGGGGCCAGTTCGAGCTGTTCATGTAATCTATCTAATTCTTGTTTTCACATCTGGATTATTGAATATAGAAGGATTGGTGGTTTTCATATTGCCCCTCAATCTTTTAGAAAGCGATTTTAAGGGGGATGTACAAGCCATACTGGATCTAGTCTTGTGTAAAATAAGAAATACCAAGAATGCGCTTAATACTCTACTAAACTAGCCCAAAGTTACTCAAAGTGCTAATGCACTAATTACCTACTGTTAGAGACCAAAATCAGTTAATAATTAAGTTTATTTTGTTTTAATTAGGAGGAAATTAATCATGTTAGAACTGCGCAGCTACAGCATTCACGAGCTGAAAAATGCCTTGAATATAGTGTTAGTTTGATTCATTGATAATATGGCTACAATCATTTGTTTCGCTTTTTTCTTGTCATTATCCATAATTCTTGAAAATTTGATTTTTCATATGGGTGTCTTCCTGAGGCCATGTGTTTATTTCGTCCGCCATTCCTCTGTCACACAGAGTTCGAATAGCATTGGTTTTAAAATAAATGCGACCATAATAACATCAAGACAAGAAATTACTAAGTAATGATCATTAGGTTATATTACTTTTTACTTTTATTTGTTGCATTGCATCGTCTGATTAATGAAAAAAAGCTATTTTAACCCCACTCCAGCAAATCGGGAAAAACTGTTCTGTTTACAGCTCGAGTTTCCTCGATAATATCATTCCACTGAGCACGTGGTTGGCATGTGCATATATCTGCTGTGGATAGATGCGTTTATTACAATGATTATATTTAATTTTTCATGAAACAAGTTTTGATGATTTGTTGGTTTCTTTAAAACTCAAGAAAAAAGATAAAACATGTCCTAAACATATGTGATTACAGTGGGTCTTTTTTCTGTGGCGATAGAAGTTATTATCAAATGGGGCACTGCAAGGAGGATGCTTAGCATTTAATTTGAAAATGTTAAACAATATGCAGTGCATGAAAAACAAATTGTATTTACATGTCTTACATTCGAAAGTTGGTACATGTGTCTATTTTGTTTAGCAGTTAGAAAGAAAAATTAGGCAGTTATAGGATTTCCTTCAGGCACCTCACATAAATAGGTAGATTGTTTGCAATGAACCACAGATAGTATGGAGTAATGTTTGGACATAAAAACGCATCATGTCTTATTATGTTGACAACATTGTTAGCTCTCGCTCATTGAACATACGAAGCTTGATAAAATATATTGAGTTGTTTCTTTGAAATTTAGAAGCAAGCACAATGTTTGCAAAGAAAAGTCCA